AGAAAATTGCCAGAGAGATTCGATCACCAAATTTTCCCAACATGTTACTATGAGGCCTGGAGAGGTAGTGTCAAGGACACGTATTGTAGGAATGGTTTCAAGTCTAATACTTCTATATTGGACTAAATCCTCCTAGAAGTGCTATGGTTGACTGTCTCTGATGGAACGGTTACCAAAAAGACGGCACATCAAGTTGAAATATTGGAGGGTTTGGCCGTCACTAGTGCATTTTTTACCTTCAGATCGTTCAGGTGGAAAAAGAATTGCAGGACTTCATAAGGTCGACACGCTAACAGCCATTTTAGCTCAACTGGATAAAGAAAGTTGAGAGTATCATTACGAACTCATCAGCTAATGCAATTCAGTCATGCAAGTTTGGATTGTCAGGACATTGCTGTTTTGCTCAACGAATTGCCTGGGGAGTTTGGGAGGAGTGCTCATCTTACTAATAGATCAATCACGTGTCCACGAGCTAGGGTTGAACTGTTGAAGAATTGCTCATCAAAGTACGTAGACAAATTCATATATCTGGTGAATTTTATTATATTAGATATGGAGGAAGATCGAAATATGCTAATGATTTTAGGTCAATCATTCCAAGAGACAATTTGAGCCTTAATTGATATTGTAAATCTTGGGGGTGGAGCATAATCAGTATGTACCAGTGTTCTAAAAAGTTCACCTAAGCGGCGATAGGTTTACATATCCTCAAAACTTGAGCAAAACGTCTCGTTTCGCACTTCAACATTTTTTTTTCCTAATTCCTAAATGGTTGGATTTTTTCCTTCTGCTCTTCCATCTTATTTATGCGCTCTTTATTATTTTTTTAATTTTTTGTTTCTTAAAAAAATGTTCTTTTATTGGATTTTAGTTTACTAATTTTTTTAAAAACCTTTTATTTGACTTTGATTTCAAATTTTAAAAGAATTTATGTACAAAAGTAAAAAAACGACTTTATCCAATAAAGAGTTAAATAAGATTTAAGTTACGATATTATTTATATTATGTAATTATGATTTTGATCATTTTGTTGAAAACTTCAAAAGTATGTATAAAATTCCTATAAATATATTAAGTATGACTTGTCTAGTTGAAAATTGAAACTATGAAAAATAGTTTAAATTTTGCATTTCAAAAAGTTGAAAATTATATAATTGACTAATTATATGAATTGTTAAATAAATATAATATTTTACAATTTTAGATGGCTGGTATGTATTACTTTAATTATTAAATAATTTTTAGAATGATTAAAATTTTCAAATAATATTAAAAATAAGAAAATGTTTTTTTTTTACTTCTAGGCATCGCCTAGGCTCGTTTGAGCTCGTAAAGTTTGAAGTTTCACTTCCATGCCTAGCTACGCTTTACGCTTTTTTGAAATACTGGTATGTACACCACATTCAAGCAACCATCCAACCTCGAAGAGTGCTATATTTGAGGATGAGGATATGAGTGATCAAGAAAGTTTCATATACAAAAGGGAAATAGGTAGACTAGTTGGGGCACTCAAAAATGAAAAAGATTACTTTACATTTGAAGAGCTAAGATGGCACTGTACAAAGTTGGTACAGTCCGATTTATGACACCATGAATGATCATTGCTCAAAATCGAGCTCGAGACTATAAACTGAATGCTTAATAGGAGGCAACTCATTTTTGTATCATTTAATTAGTTCTTGATAATTGTTGTATTGTATATAGAAAGCTAGAATTGCATAGCACTTGAGCACGATTCATTATTTTTTATCTTATGTTCGTTAGTGTTTTATACTTGGGTTCGTATTTCTAGTTCTCTCAATATGCCAAAAAACCGAGATGAGTGATGGAATTACATTGCACTAACTTGCATCATATCCCAAAATGTGATCCGATGATTGACCATACGATCCCATAGCAATTACAGCTTGCAATTACAAAACCTTGCTCAAGTCCTACATAGTAGCCAAAGGTTGAACCATACAGCCGCAAGCTATTCAATTGCATAGCTCATCACGTCATAGGTTTTAAACACCTAGCATTCCTCTTATTCGCACTTCAAAATCATAAAAACTGGCGTTCATTTACGTCTTCACGCACGTACAATTGTTGCTTCCAACCAAAATACCTCTTTTCGTCTCGAATTTCAACATTCCATAGAGTGTCCAACGCACACGTTCACATTAAACGCACTTACACCACTACATTCCATGTCCCTGTGATCTTACGTGTATTCATGTTAGAAATTCATCGTACTTGAACCACACGTAGAGCACCACACACTGCAGGGGCTCCGTCCCTGTTTTGTCTCTCCTCGTTCGCCTATTTTCTGTTAGGGGCATTATGTAACAAATGTCATTAATGTATCACACTTCAACTTAGTTACCTCTATATTTCTAGCTTTTGATATTATGTGCCGGTAAAATGGTCCAAAAAGTAAGAGTTATGCTACATGTAAATCCTCGTTTACCACTTCATTTATAGAATTTACACTCGGCAAAATCTTAAACAATCTTCCACAACAAACACATTTAATTTGGACACTGCACTTTTGCCATGCACGCATCTGTAAACCAAGGTGGCAAGATCAGATTTTCCCAAAAAGAACCATGTCGGCAACGAAGATCCTTGGGGAGAATCTTCCACCTCCATCTTCTGACACATAGTTTGTGAGTCTCTAAATCCCTTTTTTTTTTTTTTTCTATTTATCCTTTCATTGAGAACAATATTTAATTTAAATTTGAGGCGTAATTTCATTATTTTACTATATTTGTTGTTTGTGTGTAATTTATTTGTTTTTTCAAATATATTAAAAATATATACAAGCAATAAAAGTGATGATATTATTTTTTAAAAATTGAAAATTAGGAAAAAAAATTAAAAATATTATTCTTGTTATGTGTGTTTGTATGCGTTGGATAGTCTTATTGACTACTGATGATATTATTTTAAAACTGTTTATGTTTCATGAATTGTGGCTAAGTGATACCATCATGGCTATTTTGGTACTCATCAATGTGATATTACGATAAATTCTGAGTACAATAGCCCCAACTATCCCTATGTTTTTGGGTTGGCTACTTTGAAAGGGTAGGTTAAATGAAACTTTAAAACCAACATCATAATTGTAAACACAACCATTTATTTAATTGAAATGACAGTTTGGGATGGTTGATCCAATGACATAAGCTATTTAGATAGATCTTGATTTCGTGCTTGTTGAATACTTATGTAATATTTTTTTGGCTAATAGGTGGAATCTAGGGATTGGCCATAAACTAGGGGGTCTAATCCCAATTGCACGTCTCAATAAAAGGCATTGCAGTAATCTAAGAAGAAAATTTAAAAGTGCGGGAAGGATTCAGCATCCATAAAAATACAAAAATGTGGTGTTTGAGCGGTGTTACCTATCCTAGAGTGAAGAGACCAAAAAAAATAAATGCCGTCTGGTGCCAACAATTATATATCTTGATTGGAATTACAAAATGATCGACTAACTATTTTAATTTTTATCAATCCCTTTTAATTGCGAAATTGCAAATTCCATGTCAAAACTCATCTGAAAAATCCCGAACTTCCCGTGGTGAAAAGGGAATGACTCAAAAATCGAAGACTCGTTTATTCAAATCCAATACCAATATTCTACAAAATCAAGAGATTTTCCCAAAGATATAATTTTCATAAAGAAGTAACCAACTGAGAGAAATATTGTCTTCTAACCTATAACCAAAATTAGCAGTTAAAAAACTATAACCAAAAAGGGTAATTGTCAATCTGAAAATCGAGGAAATCTCGCCCCTTGGAATAAATTAATCCCTAAAAAAGAAAGAATTATTCTGCAAGTACAGAAAAAACGGATAGTAGCAGCACTTTTATGGGTGCTTCTTCTTTTTTTTTTTTTCTTTTGTATTTTTGTCATCTTCCAATAATAATCTGTCAAGTGTCTAGCTGTATGTACATATCAAAAAGAAAATAAGGTACGGGGATCTATCGTCCTCATCCAATTTGACGATTTCATTATAATATTTTACAAATTCACAAGCATAATGTCCTCATCCTACCCATGCATGTCGCCTGCTTAATAAAAGGCTTCCATCGAAAGATATATTACAAATTAAGGGACAAAGGCCCACTAGCTTGGGACTTCTCGTCGAGTTTTGCTCAAAATATGGTTTACACTCGAAAATGTGATACTTTTTTGTTCAAAATTGACACCGTTAATGTAATCAAAGGCAATATTTTTCCTGTACCCAGTAATTTTTGTGCCATTTGCACCTTAGGATGAATTCTAACTCATTGTGCAATACATAAATTATATTGGTGGAAATCTAAAGTTACCAAAGGTGCATTTTGTCAAGCATTTAACAGGAGCTTCTTAACAAGAATATAAACCAGCATAAGCACCATTTGAATTCAACGAGTATAAGCTTATAACTATTTCTCGAACTTGAAGGCGTCCAATATAGGTGTAAAAAAATATGTTGGTGTGTTTCCATTTGCTGAGAAAATGTGATGTGTAAACATGTCAAAAATTGTAACAGTGATAGCAAGTTTCCGACAGCAAATCTAGGCTCAAACAAATACATCACTGCAAACTATACATGAATCGGTGGCACAATTCTACTCCATATTAACATCTACAAAAATACAAAAATTATAAATCCATTTGTCTCTTCAGAGAAGAAAGAAGAAATTTAACATAAAAAAAAAGGAAAAATGGATATTGGCATCACCCGTGAGTTCATATAAGTATATTGATCAAGGAAAAAATTAAGCTCAATGCATGAAAATTGTAATTCAAGCAATACTACAGACAACAGATCAGTCGGCCTAGAGGTGTGCAGGATATATTGTTTTCTGTGAAACTATCTGAAGCACCCGCTAAAGTTTTCTTTTCTGCTATACAACTTCAAGCAAAGCACGGATTAGCCAATCGTTTTACCACCTGCATATCAAGCAACACCTTCTTGGTTTGTCTCTTCCAGAAGTCAACCAGACAAATAATCTGATGAGAAGCTTGATTACATTATCCTGCATGCACAAGTCTTTTGATTCCGATGGTCAAATTCATCGTCCATTTCAACTTCGCTGCAATCACATGGAATGCATATTTAACACACTGGACAATAACAATTGAAGAAAGAAGTGATTTCTCCTGTTGATAATGAAAAATTTAAAACAACAATCATCCAATAATTATCACCATTTGCTGATAACATGGTATTGCAAAACCATGAGCTACAAACCTTTTCCCCAAGAAACATATAAATCAAAAAAATAATTTATGTCGCAGATATGTGTTCTTGAAATATGAGACAGTTTGGAAGATTTCTTCAATGCTCCTACCTAACACCTTCACATGCACTAGTTTTGCTTTAGTTCATAATGATGCTTGTGCACAGTCTTTTACAAAATCTATCCAACGAGTGTTGAAGATACTATGGAGCAACCAAGCAACCAAAAAAGATGTCAAGAAGCCAAATTACAATAAATGCAAGTTAGTAAGGCAGATACGATATATAGCCTTCCGTACACGAATATAACAAGAAACTGAATCCATAGAGAGACTAAGCTAAGTAGTCATTAACTACAATCTTGAACTCTACTTTTAAGAAGCTAAAAGACTTCAAGAAAGGCTAAAATTCCGCATTGCACATAAAACCAGGTGTTAATACTCTACTGGGATAACGTGATTTTGCCTGTTCCATAATAAACTGCTAAAGTCTTTCTCTACATCACTAAATTCCTCAGCATAGTGAAACAAATCTTGAATTCCGTACCACTTTCTTATAATACAACAATATTTGAAATATTAAGTTTTTACCATGAATCTGACCTTTTAATATAGGGAAAATTGGAGTCACGGTATCAAACTTTTCATTTAGTTGCAGACTTTGCCCAAATCTTTCATTTGTGCCACCCACAGTACCAAACATTTTTAAAAACTCGCACCCAAAGTCCAAATGGATAAAAACAGTTAGTTTGACCATTAGTTAATCAAAGAATTGACTTTGACCATAATTTTTACTAATTTTAAAAGGATAAAATTATAACTTTACATTTTCTATAATAAAATAATTAAAATAAAAAAAACCCAAACCACACATACCCACCCCACTCAAACCTAAAACTGTGTATCTCCTTCACCTTTACCCTTCCCACTCCCACCCCTAAATTAAAATCAGAAAATTTAGAGGAGATGAAGTAAGAATGTAGATAAAGACAAGAAAGATGAAATGAAAGCGGAAAAGGTTCACAAAAGAAAATGGTACCAATACATGATTGGAATGGAGCATTTAGTACTTCTTAATGTATAACTTGAAGGTATTGTTCCCCCAATCCAATTATTTCTCTTATATTTTCTTTGCTAATTCTACAATTGAATCACTACAACCATGCAACCCCATGGATTAAAGAGTTGAAATTTCTCCAAAACCACCAAGGATCTCATCCAGAACTTTGCGATACAAAAACGAAATGACTAGGCGCTTGAGTCTCGGGAAGTGGATACTATCGCTCTCCAGTATTTTAGATTAATGTTTTTAAATAGAAGAAATTCTCCTTCATTTGATTCCCACTCTCCACAAGAGAAGGTACTTCGTTTCAATTTTAGCACTTTGTTTTCTGATTTTGATTTGGGAGTGGCAGTGGAAAAGGTGAAGGAGATATTTTAGGTTTGTGTGGGGTGGGTATGTGTGGTTTGGTATTTTTTTTTTATTTTATTTTAATTATTTTATTATAGAAAATGTAGAGCGACCATTTTATCCTTTTAAAATTATTCAAAATTATGGTCATGGTCAATTATTTGGTCCACTAACGGTTTTCATCCATTTTGACTTTGGGTGCGAGTTTTTTAAAGATTTGGTACTGTAGGTGGTACAAATGAAATGTTTGGACAAAATTTGCAACTAAATGAAAAGTTTGGTACCGTGGCTGCAATTTTCCCTTTAATATATGAATGCTAACGAGTTTGTGGTCTTGTATTAAGTTCACCGCTTGTGCCAAATTTCCAAAAGCATGATATTTCCTTTTTGCACTTTTCAAAAAAGACATACAAGAGTATAAATCAACGCAGAACAGATGTAGAAGGATCAGATCTCACTCTACAATAATCGAACATCAAACTCAAAAACCCCCCATTATATCAGTCAATAATACTCCTAATTATTAAATATTTTATTTTTTTTTATGTGTCTAATCACCCAACTTATAACATGTATGGAGAAACATGGTGTTGTATACCAAATTCATAAAAATAATGGAAATACTTGATACAGGTACCACAGGTTATGAAATATTAGCTGCAATGCTCAACAGAACCTTGAAATTATTGGTTTCAAATTGCCATTGTCCTCATCATTACATAAGTATACATATGGAATCATATAAGTAGAAATTCAGGCTCTCGATCATATGAATAAGTTATCATGTTGTAACACATATTTAGCAAGAGCATGAACAAACAAAGCCACGAGGAAAATGAAATTGATGGTAGCAAGGAAGAAAAACTCCAATTCTTAAGTCATGCCTTGTTAATAAGCACAGAAGCACCAGAATGAAAAGATGAGAATAGAGTTCCAACAACCCATAAGATATTTAAAGAATGAAACCAATACACATAAATTATAGTATAGTGAAAAACTTAATTATCTTAAGCTTTCATACCTCATCTCAAATTCCCGGATCTCAAAGAGCTCTCCTCCAGATGTATCTGTCCACTGCACTTTTCTCCTCTCCGTTGGACTTGAAACATCATTATTCTTCTCAAAAGAAGTTTCTTGTCCATTGTCAAAGCTGCCGCCACTTGCAGCAGAAACTGGAACACTATTTGTAGGTTTCTTCATACTGCTCTTCAAACTAATACTGCTTCCGTTACTAGTATCAAGATGATCGGCCAAATGTGCTTGATCTTTACCATCATAATAGACAGGACGTCCCTGTGAGACTTCTTCATGCTGAGTAGGTCCAACTTTCAGATGAGATGGACTCTCGACTCCAGCGGTAGCGCGACCAAAGCATACAAAGGAAGCGCACCCGTGGACAGGGTGGTTCTTCCCAGTAGCCAGCTGGATATCAGGATCAGACTCTTGGTCCACCAACTGGTACTGATTCCAAGGTGTTACTCTCATGGGTTTCTCTTCTTTCCTCTGACCCAATAAAAGAAGGGTCAATCCCTTACTGTATCCAGAAGCTGAAGAAGAAAAGAACCCTCCTCCTTCCACTGCCAATAACATCAGTTCTTCTCATCTGGGCACAAAACAATAACTTACTTTTCAGCTATTTCACCTCCAAATACCTTAATTGGTCTGACAGGTGCAAGACATAACAGAACTTATATAAGATGAAATTCTGTGTAAAAATGTGACAACGTTTTCCACAATTCTGAGACACAATACCATAAAAACCCATCATTGTGATTCAAGATTTACTTAATTATGCTTGACCTCGGAGGAAATAATAGAAACGGGAATATAAATAAATTTCCATTTTGTAACAAAACAAATTCAATGTTAAGTTAATTGTGAATCAACATTTGAGATCCATAAAATAAACATTCAGAAAAGTTTGAAACGTTATCTTGTCAATTAATATCTGCCAATGAAAATGGATTTCAAAAACACTTTCAGCCACAAACACTCGAAGCTACAAATTCTTCAAGAATAAGCCAATGCCTTAACTCAATTTCTCACTCATCCAAGATCTTGTGAGTATGAAATTTAAACTCATACAATACACGAGCACTGGTACACGGTAAATGTTGGTATATAGATATACAACATTTAAATACAGAAAGAGACATACTGATCTGAAAGCGAGCCCCGAGAACAATTCACCGATCCGGCATCTGCCCACAAAATTTTCAAGTGTAAATCTCTAAATAGTAGAGTGCATTAATTTGCTTACAGAGCAAAAAAGGTGCAAAAAAGTTAATGAGAAGATGAATTTTTCTGGTTGTGAGAGTGATAGATGGTGCCACTGTGGCGCATGATAGCGATGGGTCCTCTTTATAGTGTATTTTTAGCCAGTGAGTAATTTTATAATATACTTTTTTATTTTTCCATTTTTCTCTACTCATATTTATTTATTATACGAGGAGTTTTGCTATGGTTATCGGAGGTTGACAACCCCCTTGACCGACCCCTCACAGCCGGTACAATTATCATTTCCCTTATACGAGTAATGATGAGCTTTTAGAAAAGTGTATTGGAAGGAAAGGTGTGGTGATTTAAAGGAGAAAGCTTGCTTTTGTTTATTAGCCCATCTCAAATGAAGTAAAGGTGGGTCGAGCCAGTCTACTCTAGGCTCGTCTGAGATGGTTAGAGAGCTATAAAGTGTTTAGCTCGATTTTTTACCACATAATTATTTTTTAGAAAATTAACTAAAAATTTACAATAAATGTTTGCAGCTAGATTCCAGCTCGGCTAGACAAGGTCCACGTCCAAAATGAGTTGTACCTACGATGAATCTTATTAAAACTCTTTGAAGTCATTTCAACTCCTTTTACACTTTTAATTAGGACAATACGCCGTAACAGTTTATAAGCATGTATAAACGAATTTAATTACATATAATTGTGTAGACACGCTGGTTCTTTTCACGAGTAACAAAATGAAAAATTATCTTCAATTGTGAAGAGGAATTGAAACCTTATGAAATTCTCAAATTGCATAGAAAGTAGCTTCTTCTTTCTTTTTTTTTAGCCTACATCGATCTTGAAGTTAGATTTAATAGCCATATATTCAAGTCCAACTAAGTTCAAAATTCAGCTAATAAGAATAATTGTTGTAGGTATGGATGAAGAAAAATAACAATTTTAAAATCATTGTTCTATTCAAATGCCTCCTACATTACTTTAAAAGGTTAAGAATACACAGCCAAATGTTAAGAAATGTGTTCCAAAACCATGTAAATGTTCAAATAGTTAAATATGGTTTAACTGGTAGTCTGATCGTGTTTTCATGTCAACTCTTGAAAGGAATATTAAAACTACAGTAAAACAATAATTAGTAATTTGACGTCTTAATTTTGTATAAGAGATAATTTATGCTTTATCAACTTATTTCATATCATGGTTCTAACATTGTAAAAGTTAGAAGTTGAAATTTCAACTCAAAAGTCTTAATTTTGTATATGATAAGTGATAATTTATGCTTTATCAACTTATTTCATATCACGATTCTAACATTGTAAAAGTTTGAAGTTGAAATTTCAACCCAAAAGGTTAACGTATTAAGTGGAAAAACTCAATTCCTTTTATACTTGATATGTTATACATGCCTAGTTGATGAGAGACTATCTTTGCACATTTTTAACAATCTCTTTTTAATAAAGACCAAATCTTCTCATCCCCCATTAGATCGGAATAGATACACAAAAATGATGACCTTCAAAAAATATTGGACCGATAAGAAAAATGGAGAAAAAGTGAAGTATAATGATATTGACATCTGTATATCTTCGTTAAATCACGAAGAATCATATACTTTATCAAAGCCCAATTCAACACATTTATATGTTAAGAGAAACACTGATAAGGAAAGATTGAGAAATGGCTAAAAAGATGGCAACACGATCTTTTGAGAAAAGAGACATAGAATGGCAAACACAATCTGCTAAGGTAACAGATAATGGCAACACAATTACATACATCTTAGCATTACTCTTAGCATTGAAAATGTTGGTCAACTGCATTACTTTTGAAATTATCCTTAGCTAGTATCCCAAAATCAACGGTTCCATTTACATATCTAATGATACGTTTCACGGCGCTCAGGTGAGATTCCTTGGGATCAGCCTGAAAGCGCATACAAACCCCTACACTAAAGGTTATGTCAGGTTTACTAGTAGTAAGGTAAAGTAAACTACATATCATACTCCTGTATAGAGTCTAATTAACACTCTTACATGTATGATCATGACCTAATTTGACACTAGTGCTCATGGGGGTTCTAGTGTGTTTCTTCCTATCTAATCCAAAGCACTTGATAAAAAATTTTGCATACTCCGATTGAAATTTGAACAATCCATCATCAGTTTGTTTAACTTAGAGATCTAAAAATTAATTTAATTCTCCAATCATACTCATCTCAAATTCTTGATTCATACATTCAGCAAAATCATGAGCAAGAGAATCAATATAAGAACTAAATATAATGTCATCGACATAGATCTGAGCTGTCGTGATGGTTTCTTCAATATGTCTAATGAATAAAGTTTTATCTGTACCACCTCTTGAAAAATCATGTTCCATGAGATATACAATAAGTCTATCATACCAAGCTCTAAGAGCTTGATTAAAATCATATAAAGCTTTATTCAACTTATAAACATAATGTGGAAACTTAGAATCAACAAATCTTTTAGGTTGTTCAACATATGCTTCTTTCTGAAGTATTTCATTCAAGAAAGCACTCTTGACATCCATTTGATATAATTTGAATCCTAGAGTATATGCAACTAGGAATGGGCAAAACCCAAACCAACCCGAGTAAACCGCCCGACCCGACCCGACCCGACCCGACCCGACCGACCTAAACTAACGGTTTGGGTTGATTTTTTGCTTTTTTATGTGGGTTTCGGGTATTGGGTTGGGTAGTCGGGTCTAGTTGGGTTGGGTTGAAGGTTAACAACCCAAACCCCATCGAAACCGACCCAGCCCGACCAGATTACATTTTTAAAAAAAAAAAAAAGAGAAAGGGAAAAGAAGTTAAATTGAAAAACAAAACCCTAAGATTAAAAGCCAAAACACCATTCGCCTCTCCAGCCTTCACATTTAGCGTGGCCTGGTTGCAAAAAATTGAGGAGAAACATTAAGGAGAGAAGGCATTTCTTAATCCGAGAGTCAACCAGTAAATCTTACTTTCAGTTTAATCTAAATATTTAGATATTTTTTTACCATATTATTATTAGGTTAGGTTAGATCTTTGAGTTTTAGCTTTCTTTGTGGATCTATTTTAGCTCGCAAATCAGTCTCTGCTCTTTGCTCTCGCCAGCTCGTAAGCCCTCTTGTCGATTTCTTTTTCATTTTTACTGGTTTTTAAGTATTCAGATTCAGAGGATTTGGAATACCTAACACTCTATTTACAATCTAATTACTATTTTAATGAGAAATTTGAGGTCATGAAGCTGCCGGCTGCTGTTATTTCGATTACTAGCTAGGGGTTTCCCCCAATGAAATAATATTTTTCTATTCAAGGATCAGCAGTATTAGGATGTGAGTAAATTAGAGATGAACATACTGAAGATATACCTCCATGGACATATAAATGAACCAAGCTAATGTGATATGTTCTAACTTCTGAGTAGCAAATTCTTTTTTGACTTAGGGTGAAAAGCTATTAATTTCTGCTGCAACTCATGGTTAAATGTACTAGTTGTAATTTTGAATAATTGGCATAGGCTTTTTCTTATTCTTGACAATCCAGATAATAATATGAATGAAACTACTTTTTCAGGTGAGAGGATTCCTTCTTAATATGGTGTGTATTTTTCCACAAGAGCTGTTCTAGGTCTCATTCGAGTGGATTTTATTTCAAGCTGTGTATGCTTCAAGATGCTATCAGAAACATTTAAAACTATGTTATAGTAAATTGCTTTATGGATACTTTCCCAGTTAATTTAATCATTTTCATTCCCATGTTTTTTCCTGCAGCTTCGGGTAGCGATTTACATGCCTTGGGTGATGTAAATCACATAGACAAGTTGTCAATCCCAAACCGCGTCAAAAAATGTAAAGCTTGTGGCTTGATTATGCAGTCCCAAACCGACCAACCCAACCCGATCGATACTTGATTGGGTTGGGTTGGGTTGGGTTAAATTTTAATCAAACTGGTCATGTTGGGTTGAGTTTGGGTTAAGGCAAAAGCCGACCCAACCCATGCCTACCCCTATAGGCAACAGCCAGAAGAATTATAATAGATTCAAGTCTAGCAACTGGGGCAAATGTTTCATTGAAGTCAACTTCTTCAACTTGAGTATATCATTGGGCAACTAACTTAGCCTTATTTCTAGTTATGGTACCTTTTATCCTGGAGCTACTAACCTAGCTTTATTTCTGGTTATTCTACCTTGATCATCGGTTTTATTCTTAAATATCCACTTAGCACCTATAACACTACAATCATTAGGC